TTCTAAGTAAACAATTTTGTTCGTTTTTTTTATTTTATTCTCTATTTGTTTTTTCGTATTGTGATATTCAAATGCTATCAAAAAAAGTATGGTAATATCTTTTTAAAAATAGTATACATAACGAATATAGGTTACTACCAGATTCTCTTCGATTCAATTTTGAAATTAATTGAAATCAGTTTTCCATTCATAGTATGGCGCAGCAGATGTCCGATCTTCAACGATCATCTATCTACATGCCATAGCACACTTGTCATCACAGACAACTCTGGCTTGTTATACGGACATTAGACATTTTTATAAAATTACTTTTTCGAAAAGGCGTTGTAAGAAAGTCATGGTAGAAAAACTTAGATTTTTAGAAAACCTACTGTGAAACCTAGGAAAATATATACATCTTGAATATATTGCATTCTTAAAGAGAACCATGTGTAGTTGTAGTATATAGGGCAGAAGATGTGTGCAAAGTTTGAGTCCGGAGGAAAAGTGGTAAATCGTCGTGTATACAGTTAAAGATTTTCAGTATGGAAAATGCTGTTTTTCTGTGTGCTTTTTGAATGATGAATATTTCGTCAAATAAGAACGAACTTATAGTATGACGTTAAATATTTATACTCAAACTGAGCTTGAACGATTAGAACCCAAAAAAGAATGAGATTTTATCGAGTTTGACACGATGAATGCAACTTGATATTTACAGTTTTGTTAATCGGCGATGTTTCGCCATACTTAAACTTTCAAAAATTTCTCTACCCATGATGAAAATGCAAAACTATTGATAGGTGATCTTTTATGGTTAAATAGATTCCGCATTACTTTCGTCGAACTTGTGGTGAGTCATTCTATTGGGTTTGTGTCATAGTTGACTATTAACATACACACGTAGACACATAAAGTTATTCAAATTAGAAGAAGTAAAGGACGAGTGTACTGTACTATGAAAGAAAAAAAGGCTGGTAAAAATGTCTGTTTTGATCAGTCTTTTTTTCTGAATGAATTTTGTTTTATATAAGGCCAAAACATATATACATGCGAATACACGTTTTATATATTATCTATATGATTAAACTTGTAAAATAATACGCTTTTTTCTTATGTATATAAATGATGTGTTTCTCATCGTCACTTTTTTTTCAATTCTGAATAGAAACAACAACCGTATCAAGTAAAATATTTTGATCTTCGAACAAAACCGACCGATTTAAAATCAAAATCGGGTGAAACCATATTTGAAAGTGTTGACGATATTGAAGAACCACCAGAAAATGGAAGTGAAATACCGAAACAATGGAATGTTCACTACGGTGATGTGATATCATGGAGTTATGATAGACCAACGGAAACGTATGTAGAGATTTCGTTTCATTTCAAAAAATGAAAGTCTTTAAACACAACAATCCCAAAGAGTTAAACTAAATAGGGCTTATGAATACTTGTTATGTACAGTTTTGATGCGCGCTAGCTTGCTGAGTGCTGAAGCTCACTCTGAGAAGAGTCTTCATGAAAGAAGAGTGATCAATTGACTTGAATAACTCGATTTTCAATGAAGTTAATATATCAGTTGAAAACACACATCTATACTCTTACTTTTTTTCCTTAGACATATGTCTGTAAGAAAATATATAATCGTGTTAATCGGTTAACATTATTTCTTAGATATTTTGTAACAAAAGATGGTAAATTTCTTAAAAATCCTGACCTATCTGGATCTGGCTATTTAACAATCCCATTATCAATTACTCGCGATTTAACAACGAACACGTTAGAAACATACAAAAATGTTATTGAACAGTTAACCGAACTTGTCATATTACCGATTGAATTAAGTCCTGAAGATGAATTTTTTTCAGCCAAATTCAATGGATCAAAAATTCCTAAAGCCTATATTAAACGAAACGATATTGAATATTCATATTCTCCTATGGAACAACAATTAACAGTGCAAATCAATAAAAATGGAAAAAAATTTACAAATGAATTTCCTACCGATAAAGAGGAAAAATTAAACAATATTATAAGTAAGTTGAATCAACCGGACAGAAGAGGAGAGATTAGTAAGAAAAAGTTGTGAGATACACCAATAGCTCATATAGCACTTCTATATCTACTCATTTTGAAAATTATCCGGGAAAAATCACTTTAAAGCTGAGAAGTCATTTAAAAGGTGGTGAACCATTTCTGCAAGAAAATAGCCCTATCTATTTTTGAGAAGATAATGACTGGAACCGATCAGGAACCGTTCGTTATTTAGTTTTAATGTAGATCTTTCTTTAGATTTGTTGTAGCTATTATCTTCGAGGAGAAAAACTGATAATACACGTGCTTCAATAGTTTTGAGAGTCAGCGTAAATAAAAATCGCGCAGTTATGTACTATTCAGCAGATAAATGCTTGACGATATACTTTCTAAAAAAAACTGCATTTGAATTTGTATTTGATTTTGTTGAAATGTATTTGAATTTAAAATACGTTAAATTCTGCAGTTTTCTATATTATAACCATTTCTGGTTCGATTTTATGTACATTCACTGTTCTACAATAGGTCAAAATTACTGAATCCATTCGGTATCTTGCGCATAAGTCTAGCAAACTTACGATTTGAAAGAATATGTTATCCCTTATTCGGTAACCCTTCAAGTTTGCATTTCTCTATCTATAAACTATGCACTCTGTCTGTAGAAGAAACTAATCATTTTTATGTGCCACTCACTATTGGAAAAAAAATTGAAATACCTGTCAAGTATTTTGTTCAATACATCTACGAAGGCAAACTTTTAAAATAATAGCTCATTTTGTAGCCCTTTCAATTCTATATTTTGCTGTGTTTAAACCATTCCGGGTCTGAGTGCACTGACAAAACTATATGAAATGAGAGTCACATATATGAGAAAGGAATAGTCATAGACAGTGTTGAACCAATAACTCTATGAAGACATTAGTTTGAAAAGATGTGTTGTAGATCATTTTAAAGCCTGTATAATTGTGCATGTTTTCATAGATAAGATTCTATTAAGAACATCGAACTCGCAGAGAAAATGACTAAATATGATCGAATAGAGTTTTTCGACCGATGCTCAGAAATGATTAAGAATTTCATCATATGGCAGTCCACAATCAACTGTTATGGCGTAGAAATAATAAAAACTAAATAAAGAACGGTTTCTGAGCAGTTCCAGTCGTTATCTTCTCAAAAATATATCGGATCATTTTCTTGCAGAAACCGCCCGCCGTCCTTTGGACAGTGCCTCTCATTTATGCTTTTTACTCCTCCAGGATTGCCAAATCTATTGATTTTACCAGTAGTCTATTAATTTTGCGATTTTCTACTGGAATCAGTTGTGGCTTTTGAAATCGTATACTTATTTCTACTGATTTTGAGAATTTATCAAATTTTATATTTTGTATATTAAAAAAGAAAGGTGATCTAGAAAAATACACCCATAAAGTTACAGTTCTTTGTATAGAATGAGAATAGTTTTACAATTGTCATCTGAATTTTCTTTTCTTAGAAATTATATTTTATTAGTCGTGTGTGAAAAAGATATAAAGTGAACATTATTTATCTGAAACTTCGTTTTGTTTCAATTCTTAAACAGAATTTTGTTGCTCGCAAAAGAATATTATATGTAACTCAGATAAGCAGATAGAGAAAACTGAAAAAAAAAGGAAAATCTCTGATCGAACTTCTGTTTTCAAAGAAAAAGTGTTTATTTCAAAAAATTCACATTGGCAATCTGTTTTTAATGAATCTGTCTTTACTCTGAACGAATTTGTCAATTAATGGAATCAATTGTAAACATCGAATATAGAAGATTTTGTACGGTAGAAAGTTGACAGTCATTTTGTGAAATTATTCTTAAAAATCAAGTGCTCCATTCTTTATAGACCATTTATTAAGCGATTTCTGAGTCTCTTAAGGATACTCAATACTAAATTGTCAGTTGGATTTCTTTTAGAGTATTATATACGCATGTTGTACATAAAAAGATAGTTATTTTAATAAGCATTCTGATAATAGCACTGCTTTGAACTTCCTACTAGTGGTAGTAGAAAACCATGATATTTAATAATTATAATATCACTAGTTTTTCACTAAATAGAAAGATCATGTTAAACGGCTTAATTTTTCTTTCTAGAATGGATTAAAAGTATCGATAATTCGGCAACAAATCCTCTTATAAATCTTATCGTCAAATGCAATTTTAATGATAAATCTGAATGTGATAAAGTACAAAAATATAAATGTTTCGGAATTATTCCATTACCAAAAACATGGACATGTGAGCAAAAAGGCGGCGCTCATTTCGGACAAGAACAGATAAGTGCCACATATAAATGTCAAGGTCCCTTATCAAGTAAACAAGAAGCAATTAAAAAAATTAAAAATTTTTATAAAGATCTGAAGGTAGACATCACAGAACAAAACGAAGAAGAAGAAGAAGAAGCAAAAACAACAGACTAAAATATTTGATTTTGTTTTTCTCCTAATGTTTTGATTTGATTAGACAACAATAGTAGTTTGTTTGTAATCTTGTTCATAATATTTTTATCCTTTTAGTAAAACATTAATTAATCGAACATCTTTTTTAATTTATGTTGTCTACTGACCTTCTTTGAATTTTGTATTTTTGCTTTTACTCTCTTCCAATCACTTTTCTATCTTTTCATTTAGATAAAGAAAATCTTGTACCTGAGTCTTTTGACAACAATGTTTGGTGAAAAAACAGCTCGTTACTTTGATTTAGTTAATAAACCCGAAACATTAAAAAAAACAAATGGTCAGCCAGTACCTGCTCATGAATACAAAGATGTTCCAACTAGTGTACCAGCCGATTGGGATGTATCACCCGGTGATTTACTATCGTGGGCAAAATATCGAGCATCAGAAACATGTAAGTAAAATCAGCATTATTCTCATCGTTAAGTGGCCGATGAAAGTAGTCATTTAAATAATCTCTGCATGTACGTAGTTTACCTATGGGGAAATTTTAGTATATAAAATGGCGTGTATATCGTGAAATGAACTGTGGTCGCACGTAAACATCGTAAAATGGTGTGTGAGTACACATAAAGAATATATTCCACTTGTGACAACGCGTGAACTGCTCACGGAAATTTTTTGCGTCATATTTTTCACACGTGATCACTAATACACGTGAAAATGCTTGTGGACGCGTGTGACCACGCACATGACCCTAATATCGTGAAACGTCAACAAAATTTCCCTATGGATAATTATTGTTCTCAGTAACTTAACTTATTGACCATCAGTCTATAGTGATTCTGATTGTTTCTATTTAGATTTTATATTGAATGACGGTACATTATTGAAAAATCCAGATCGTTCCGGTAGTGGTTATTTAACAATTCCATATATAATCACTCAACATACGCGTAATGTTTTGATGATGTATGAATATGTTATTAATGAATTAGGTAAAGATTATGTGTCGACAATTGAAATGCATCCTCAGGATCAATTTATTGTTAAAAATTATGGTCAATTACCTGAAGAAATGTGTACACCTAATGTAGAATATATTTATGATCCATTAGAAGAATTTCTTTATGTAAATGTTGTTGGTACTTCGAAAAAATCAAAAGAATTTAAATTAGGTAATACATCGGTAAAAGATATTCAACAATGGTATGATGGTATCAAAGGTGAACAGGCTCAATTTAAAGTGAAATATAATTTTGATGGAGTACAATATCAAAAATATCAACAATATAAATTACAAAATGAAAAAATATTAACACCAAAAACATGGAATATACAACCGGGTACAACAGATGTCGGTCATGATCATATCAGGTAGACAGATTATTTTAAAAATAATAGTCTTACATAGAATCACTTTTCTCAAGTTCAATGTATAAGAAGTGAATTAATTACAGGCTTTAAATTGAGAGGGAAAAACATTACTTCAAGCGTGTCGATTGAAAATGTAAAGGTGATCAGTGTTTCCTTAAATGTCTAAATGCTACGCAATTGCCTGAGAGAAGTGGAATGTAAAACATAGGTCTCTTTTCTTTGCTTTTGATGATGTAGTATTATACACTTATTTCAGCTAAAAATGAAACACAACGTCAGTGTCTTGATCAGGGATCCCAGAACTTTTGATTTTTGAACTTTTTTCTGCCTCGTTTCTAATCTTCTGATTTTTTTCCTGATTTTATGTGGATTTAAACTGAAGTTTTGGCTCATAGCGCATGTATCGTATTACATTCATATCGCTTTCTGTTCCAGTAGTAGGCACTGGATAATAATATCCCAATAGTTCGCTATAAGTCTTCCTTGTATAGATTCTTATCTGAAAAACTGCTCATTCTTCGATCAATTACAGTAGTCTGCGAGCTTAGACATACTTTTTACATACGAACGCTAGAGAACTGAAAAAAATTCTGAAGTTTTCTGTACTTTGTTTCTATTCATAGAATAACTTAAGAGAAAGAAATATCTCTCAGGAGGGGAAGAATTGGTGTGTTTTAGAGTTGTCTGAAGCGGATTATTTTTGAGAATGTCTATCTCAGATGCATGAACAAAAAATTTGTATTCTAATTTTTTTCTGATTTTCATCTTTTGGATCTGGGATCCCTGATCTTGATTATTTTTAGTTGTTATTATTTTGTAGGCATTGTGTAAATCGTTTTTGTTTCATTTTAGAGGTGAATGGATTTTGAATGGTGATAGAAAACATTTGAGCGATGCTAAAAAACAAATTCAAGAATTTTATAAAGATTTAGCTGTTAATATTGAAGAAGTACCATTATAATTCCATTATTAAATATTTTTACTCGTAAGAATTTGGGTGATAAATCATTTTTTCTGTATTATCCAGTGAGAATGTTCTTTTTTTATCGGTGACTTTTTCTTTTTTTATGATATTTTATTGGTACTTTTTTTGTCGCTTGATGATCTGCTTGTTATCTATGTATGAGCGCTTTTTTGGATGTTTTTTCTTATTCTTGTTGTTCTTTTTTACACGTACAACTTTTTATCTCGTATTTTAACTATTTGAACGTTTTTACTGACGAAAAATAAATATTTTTTCATTGAACAATTAGTAGAAGGAACTTTTGACCATACTCATGTGAACATTTATCGTATCTGTTTCTTATTTATATGCAAAAAGGTCTATCTATATTATTAAAGGTAATCCCTCTTTTTTAAAAGTAATTTTCTACTTGGAATTGAACATAGCCTAATGTGGAGGAAAGTGTGAGATACAAAACAAGATCGCTCCAAGTATTCCACGCACTTTTGGAAAAGAGTTTTTTAAGTTTTTGCTCAAAATGCTGAAAAAATACGTGTTTTTTGGTTTCATAACTTTTTCTCTTCTTTTCAATTCCTTTAATAATATTTTTATATATAGCCTGATAGAGCAGAGTGTTCTCTTCATAATAAGACGTCTTACAAAATTTTCCAATCGCTTATTTTAGATTTAGATATCTCAAAATCTCAGAGAACTGTCTAAAGATAGCTATTTCTCTGCAGCTTAAAAAATTTGTACCAATCTTCACAAATCCATAGGTCAACAGCGTTCATCTTTTGTATTGTCCAGCCGTTTTCCCGTTAAACACTCCGGTTTTTATATCATTCGATAGAGAATTTCACGGTCTACAAAATGATATATAAAATATTCAGAAAAAATGTAACTAAGTAGTTGAAGGTTGGAAATACTCGGTAGTATCTGAGCAAACCGATAGGTCAATATTGTTCAGTTTTATACTATCCATTTATTTTTCCGTTAACCACTCCACTTCATATACCTTTCGATAGAGAATTTCATGGGCTACAAATTGAGCTATAACATATTATTTAAAAGTGTGCCTTTGTAAAGATATCTGACAAATACTTGACATATATCTTGATCTTTTTCCTATAGTGGTACATAAAAATGATTATAGTTTCTTCTGCAGACAGAGATTAGGCACAGTTTGTATATAGAAAGATGCAGCATTGAAAGGACTCCAGAACAAAACATAACGTATTCTTTCAAATTGTAAATTTGTTAGACTTATGGGGGAAAAGACGAAAGACATGTTTTTCGACTAATTTTGCAGACATGGGACCTTTTGTTTTTTAAGGTGCCAGTTTTAATCACGGAGAGAAAAACTACATCAAATCTGTGAATATGAGATTAATCTGAGAGGGAGCCGATTTTGTCTCGTATCAACCCCCGTTCTTTTGAGCAAGTTACGATTTCTGATCAGTCAAAACACAACGTTATTCTTATTGTCTTTGCTAAAGTGGTCTTTTATATATAAAAGTTTTATATTTTATTTTTTAACATAAAATACAACTTTTTCAAAATAATTTCTAGATAGAATATAACAATAATGTAGTGTCGTTTATTTCATTGTATTGATATCTTTCACTTTCCCATACCCATATATAGGGGAAGACACATTGCTATAGTTTTGAACGTTGAAATTTTACATATAATTCGTCGAATTTTCTGATTGATTATTATAAATCTAAAATATTAGACAAAAAATACTTTTGAAATATAAAAATATGCAATAGAAATTCAAACACGCAATAGAACGTCATGCAGTTTCTTAGATAATCTGCATAAATATAGTCAAAGGTGTTCATGCGAAGAGGAGACTCCCGATATATCTCTGAATTATGAATCATTTCATTTCGAATAAACATTTCAGATCTATGAGATGTCTAACGTTAAGAATTATAAACTATTTAATCTTAAACCTACCAGAATAACTGACTGACGTTTGTCAAAACGAATTTTTCTATATCATTGATATAGATTATAAAGCATATAAAATTCAAATTTACATATATTATAAAAATAATGAATCGTTATTCATAGAATTTTCCTGTTAATTTTGTATCACTACCCTCTTCAGTTGGTAGATTCACCAGGATAATAAAATCATATGGTTGTGCACAGTTCATATCTAGTTTTAATAATAGAATATTATATGTTTTTTTGTCTATAAATTGATAAATAAGTAATTGTTTACCTTTTAGCATAATATTTTTAATTAAATGATTCTTTTTAAAGAAAATCAATATATTCATTTTAACTTGTTTTTATAGAAATACAATGTCGATGAATTAAAAGACACTGTGAAATTGTAAACATATGTCTGAGTACAATAAAAAATTAAACATAATAATAATGATTAGTTGAATATTTTGAGATGATGTGAGGCAATATTCGTATTAAATATTCTTTCTTGTTTGTAAAAATAAAAAATTTACGACGATAATAATCTAGCGATAAGTAGAAATACTGTAGATTTTTCATTATTCTAACGTAATTACATGTGAGAGAAAAACAAACTAGAGACATTCTTATTCCAGTTTGATAAAGTACTCTATAATCTTTATACAGTCTAATAGAACTATAAAAAATACTTTGTTTTGTTTCCAGATTTTGGTATCATGCCAAAAGAAAGAAAAAGTTAACTAGGCACACCTTCTCTGTGACTCACACACATTCGGTAGTGTACACGACACTGTAAATATGTACTCTGTTCTGTTAATAATAGGCGACATTTATTTAAAAAACCGAAAAAGAAAGTGCATATATCATGCTGAAAAGTCATAAAAACAGGAGACGAAAAAAATACACTCGCGCCCACAATTTTGTCTGAAGATTTGTTTGGTTATTATGATGGATAAAAATGGATTTATGATCAACAAATTTATACTGTGTTTATTTAAATTCAAGGACATTGTAGACATAGGAGACTGCCTCGGAGTATAATGAGCATCGTCTAGTGGTTATAGGCTACTGTAGTGGATCTACATATGTATAAATTTTAGCAGGTTATAATACAAATAGAAAGGAGCAAGCAGATAAGATCATTTTTTGTTTTTCCTATTGGAAATATGTTAGGAGATCAATGGATACATTTTCTACAATTCAGTTTTTTGAAACGCTTTTTCTCATATATGAATTGTTAGTCTATTGAACAATTGTCCTGATGTTATAATGTATCGCTGTTATAATGACTCTTTCAGAATATATTCTTAAAAAGTATACAACTAACTAGCCGGAAGGTAGCATATATTATTATTGAAACCGATAGAAAACTGAGTATTTTTCAATTTAATATCTGATGTACACTTTTTCACGTTTTTATTTTGATACCGTTAATCGAGAGAATATGAAATATTATATATGTGGTAAAATGTTTAAGTGATATGGACTTATCCCTGGATCACAGTAGCAAAAACATCTAGTAATTTAAAATCAAAATGTTTTGCACTTTTCGAGCCATATTTCAAACTTATAAATAACTTACACTTTTTAAGAATATGGTCTGAAAGAGTGGACATTTTTATATACTTCTAACTATCTTTTTTTAGAGTTTTTAACCCTTTAGAGGTGATCACGTAAAACAAATTTGAAATTCTTGTACTTTGGTCTAGGACGACTGAAATTTGTTTTTTTCTTTTTCTGATCTGAGGCATCATCATGTTGCTATAGTGATTTCACGATATCCACTAATGTCCATCCCTGTGGGGACATTACGTCCGAAAGAGTTAAAAATTAATTTTCATTAGTAGAAGCAATTGCACAATTGTGTGAAATGATCGAACTATTTCTTTTAACCCTTTCCTAGTTTTTGGCCTGGAAATGCTCTTTAACAAAAGCTACCACACGTACATGGAAAATGGTAGCAGCAATGGGAATGATACAACAGAGCATATAATATTTGGTATTTATAATTTGCACTATCACCTGCTAACACTATTAATTAATTATACAAATTGATGATAACCTATATTATAAATATTGAACGCTTTATGAAACATGCCTGATTATTTTCTTCTTATTTAATTACATACACCTCAGCAGCGTTTTGGATGTATCCGTTACTTATCTTCATCACTTTTTTATCTTATTTGGATTTTTATGTACTTTTTCTATTAGCTTATTAGTTGTTGTTTGCCTTTATTGCTCTTCTCATTGTCACTTCCCTCTCTTTCTCCACGTAGCATACTTATATTGTTTACCTAATTGATACTGTAATAGTACTGAAAGTGAGTACGTACGTTATGCTCTTTGTGCTCTTTGTACTCTTTGACATTTGCTATACTTTTTAAATAAATTGGTTTAAATCAACACTATTAATCTAAGACTTGGACGAAACAAAAGGATAAAATGGGTCGAAATCTCGAAAATAATAGTTACTTACATCTAATCACTGCTAAGCAGTAGTAACTACACTCAAAATCTATCTGTTAATATACATGAGTACTCATCTCAAAAAAAAAATGAATAGACGTTTAGACTAGACAACTGTGAAGAAAAATATCCACTGTAAAATATTACAGATTTAAGAGAGTGTTGTCGACTATCGTTTGGATGATGTATTTTACCAATATCCTAGTGACGTAATAAAAGATGAATATTCAGAGATGAATTGCTTTTTGATGTTTTAATAATTTAGTTGCTACAACAATTCATTATTTTTTTTACGTCTTTGTTGCTATGAAACAGATACAGTAAAAATTGAGCAATGACTGAATGAATCATCATTATCACACAGAAGATTGAGATCGTTATATTGGTGACATTTTAAACGTATTTAGAGGAGAAAAATCAATATTTTTTAATAAAAGATTTCAGTAGAAATGATGTTTACAAGAATCATGCTTCTTTTTTGTCTATTTATTTTTCTCGATATGCCAACTATTTTATTATCCTTTCGATAAGTGTCTAGTTGTCTTTTCATTTAAGAGAAGTGAGCTTTAAAATAGTTTATATTACTAAAAAACACATTATACTGGATAAAAAAACAAAAACATACAGAAAAACGTTAACAATAAGTAGGAGCACATACTAGCACCATTGTAGTAAAACTACATATAATTTTGAATCAATTATGTTATTTCAAAGATAACATTATGAGTTTGAGCGTTGAAAAATATTAATTGTAATAAATTTTTAACTTCATTTTGACCATTGTGTGGTACTAATTGTATATTATAACTGTAAAGTATAGAATAAAATAAAATAAAATAAATTCAGTCTTTCTCTCTACTAACACTTACCAAAATCTTATATATATCACTGACACATTTTTTTCATTTATTGTTTTAATTTTGAAACATGTGTTGTATTCAAATAAATTTCCACCTAAGTAAACATACTTATGTACATTATTTATAATTTTTCATCTATTTGGTTTTCGATTTTTTGGACCATTTCCTCCTGATGTTGTTGAAGTACCTGATCCACCACCACCACTACCACCACCACCCGTAGTAGTAAAACTATCAAAGGGTTGCGCAAAATTCATAATTTTATTTGTTGTTAAATTAAACTTTTGTAAAAATGACAAGAAGTATTAGAGTTGTTTGAATAATACGGAAATAATAATGTTTGACTTTTTATTAATGTAAACTTCTTTTTATATACTATACCACGCATAAGTGGTACTTTCCAATAAGTTACCTGCAGGAAAAAGAGACAAAAAATAAAAAGACGTGGAAACAATTGATGAATAAATTCAAAATTCTTTTTTCGTTCTTTTTTTTTCATATTGAAAACCATAGACAGAGATGGTATTTCTTATCTGAAAAGAGATGAATCATCTTTAAAAATGTCCTATATTTAAAATATTTCGATTGCATTGCATAAAAAACATCTTTTTTCTTTTATTACTGGGTGAGACATATTAGAAGAAAGAATAAAAAGAAAATTGTTCAATTGATGGTATACTTTTTTCGTTTCTGTTTTTTGTGCTTGATATTCATGGAAAAGCACGAAAAATTCTTAGAAATGAAAATGGGGGCGACCAGTTTCATTTCTCAGGTAAGAATTTTACAGGTGTGTTATTACATCAGTACAATAACGAATTTGTTTTCTGTCCTCTTTCTATTTAACTGAAGAGAATACCGATGATTCAGATGAACTTCTTTATTAACAAAAAGTAAATAATATACGTCTTCACAACCACATTTATTTCGTAATATCGTAGGATTTATCCTTTTGTCTTCGTGGTGGCATCGTGGAAGTTGTATCTTTTTGTCTTCGCTACGAACAATCAACATGCGAAAATAAAGGAGAAAGTGGTGTATAGATGATAAAATTTTGTTATAATTAGTATATTTCAATTAAACACTGTGAATTATATGCAGAAAACGTTTATGTATTCTTTTTCTTTAAATATATAACGCAAAAATCTATTGCTGATGAGACAGTGTATACCGAAAAATGATGACATCTATCATTTAACAAAAACAACATTTTCTTTTTGCTCAACTATAGAATTAGAAAGTTTTGAAAATAGAGAAGTGTAAAAATGTGGTTTTAGTAATAAAAGTTCCAGAATTCCTCGATGTATCTGATGGTATGTTCGTTCCTATACACTTATTTGCTCCTGCTTTCTAACATTCAAAACAAGAAAAAAACATCTTTGGATAATGAGATGATATTTATTTTTGGCGTTTTTTTGCAAACATTGACGAACAAAAATTAGTTTTTATAATATGAACAGATGCAGAATTTCAAAGTCTAGAAGATGTCATTCTTCTCATGGGTTGACTACTTTTGATAATAAATGATCAAGTTGCGATATTTACTTATATATAGAATGAAAAGCGTCAAAAGGCTAATAAGAGATATATTTTGTACGACCGTTAAATATCGTCCGAAGATTTGATTTTGTGCCTAAAGTAATTCTAATTTTTAATGTCTTGTTTGAATCGCGCAGTAAAACTATTTTAACTAGTAGAATATTTTTTCGTTTTATCGGCTATAGTTGGATAGAGTTCATCGAGTTACATAAAAGTTTTAGATTTTCTGAAGTCATTTTTGGGTGGAAAATTTCCAAAATATTTGATGTTCAAAAAGAGGCAAAATTACATGAAATTCTAAGAAATAAGCATAATCCAGTTAAAAGCTTTTGTTTTTCGGCTGAGAATGTCAAATTACCGTTACGTTCTCAAGTAATTCTCTTTAAACCTTCATGTATTTTAGTTACACTCCTGTATTTGTTCACTAAAATTTTGTGCCTTTTCCATTAGAACCTTCCGGTTTTCGGGTAAGTTAAAAAAAATAGAACCCGTACCCGGCAACTTCGTACCCGCACCCAACCTTCGAATCGGGTCGGGTCGGGTTTGCACATCTCTAAAAGGGTGTGCCCGATCCTGGGCGTGCATCGATGAGATAATTTACCGAGTCGATAATTATCGAGTATTTTGACAAATAAATTCTTGGTCTTAGTCTTTGCAGAGCAGTTTACAATGTTACCATCATTCCTGTACTGTAGCAATACAGCAGCAGGAATAAGAAGAAAAATACAAGCAATACAGTATTATAGATAATTCATATCTAATACTCAGAAAATATTAAATTGTGCAAAGAAAAGGATATTAGAAGGTTAAAAAAAGGCAGAATCCTTATTTGTATATATTTGCTTTTCTTTTGAGGGAAAATGCTCGTTTTGCTTTCTGGTTTATTCGTGCTTAATGCAGAATGCAAACACAAAGTCTTACACTGTATTTTAAAGCGGAATTGAATTACTTGAAACCAATTTCTTGAGAATATTCTTGAATCAGCTTCAAGAGCCTATAATTAGAGTATAAATAGTCGACAGATTCCCTGTGGGTGTCAATAAGTTGAATGACGCCAAAAAACGCAGGCATTGTATTGACCTTCAACCAAATTACCAGTGTTTAGGAGCGAATACTGAAGGTATATAAGATGCCAATAATGCAGAAATGCAGTATAATATTTTTTCATTTTATCGGCTATAATTGGATAGAGTTCATCGAGTTACATAAAAGTTTTAGACTTTCTGAAGTCATTTTTGGGTGGAAAATTTTCAAAATATTTGATGTTCAAAAAGAGGCAAAAATACATGAAATTCTAAGAAATAAGCAAAATTTTCATATTTATTCTTGCTCTATGAATTTAAACCTAATTTTTTCTAATTCGGTATGCAAAACTGACTATAGAAAGCAAAATTTGCCATTCTTCATAGCTAAAATGGAGTTAGATTTTGAGCAACCCAAGTGGAACCGGAAAAGAGCCCCTGATGCAAACCTATCTAGTTTTTCTGGTTAACAGATAAAATTGCTTTTTTATCTTCATTCGAATAATTATATGTGGGGGAAAGTTTTTTTTATTTTGCTTTATTATTAAGAAAATACATTTATTCTAAATCAGCAGCGAATAAACCCAAATTCTACCCGTAATTCTCAATTTTGTCTATTAAAATTCACTGTTTATGCAATAAAAATATCATATTCGGAGTCAGGGTCGAAAACTGAGTCGAATGATGTGTATTGCTATCCTATCTGAGTACGGCATTTGTTGCCGAAGTTTCACGTCGAAAAATTACTCAGATTTTCATAAAAAAAAGAGAACCAACAAAAAATTTCGAAACAAATATCCGTTGTGCCCGGGCACACCCTATTAGAGATGTGCAATCCAACCCGTACCCGCCTCGCCCCGACCCGACCCGACGGTTGGGTACGGGTACGAAGTTGCTGGGTACGGGTTCTATTTTTTTTTAATTTATCCGAACACCGGAAGGTTCTAATGGAAAAGGCACAAAATTTTAGTGAACAAATACAGAAGTGTAACTAAAATACATGAAGGTTTAAAGAGAATTACTTGAGAACGTAACGGTAATTTGACATTCTCAGCCGAAAAACAAAAGCTTTTAGCTGGAAAACAAAAAGAAGAAAATTTTTAGGCATAAGTCGAGTACGGGTATAAAGTTCTCGGATCGGATCGGGTACGGGTGGAAAAAAAATTTTCGTGTCGGGTACGGGCATAAAAATAGTACCCGTGCAGATCTCTACACCCCATAAGTAATTATTGCTATTTAACTGCTATGAAAACAATCACATTTGATTTGTAAAAGAAATCACTGACGAGATAAGGTTCAAGCTTTCATCTCTTTTCAAAAGACATTATTAGGAATGACTAGTAAAATATTTATATTTAATAAATATTTTACCAATTCCTAAGAAAAAATTGTTCTCTTGCACGCACGGTCACCTGCTCTAGAGCGAAAAACATTCCCCTGTCTTGAGCATGGATTTCTTTTAAGAATTTCCATTATTATCACATTTTGCCTGTCCCTTCGACGTTGTGATTTGTACAGCGTGGTTTTCCTAGTTCAACTTCGAGATAAATCCTGCCGGTACCATTATCTCGGTCAAGCCAAGGACAAATGGGAAACTTATATTTGACTGATGTTGCTTTATTTATGATTGTTATTTGATTACAAAACCAAGAATGACTTGTTGATTTATCATGCCACATAAATAGAGGTTATCTACAACATTCATGCATATTCTTTGTTGTAATAATATTCATTCGGAATAGTTACATTTCCTAGATCTTCCGCTGTTATTTCAAATGTATCTTGTCCGCCCCAACTAAACGTTTCTTCTTTTTTTCTTGTTAATTCAAATGGACCTAATTGTCCATTGTCACCGATCAACATGATACGAACACATCCGATACGACCGATTAATTGTGGAGGTACTGTTTTAGAACCAGTAGTTATTATTATTTTATAGGTTATTTGATTTTCTCCAAAATTCTGTTTTACAGCACAGCTAAAATTTTGTTTTTCCGTTTATTTCTTTACATTTATCACAGATAATTCCGCTTGGATGTGATCATCAGGAAACTAAAGGATCCATGTAATAAGCGTAAGATACACATCACATTTTAGAAAGTTATATATCTACCAAATAACCTTTGCTGAGAATGGATCAGATAATTCGTCGATAATTTATTGATTTGTTCGATTTTTTGTTCATCAATTTCATTAGTTAATGATGTTTTTTATTCTTGTTGCTGTTGTTTATCGTTATCAGTACAACTAATGTAGAGGAAAGTCTGGACTATCAAATGAGACCACTCCCAGCTCTCCATGACCTTCCTTGAAAAACTTATGAAGTTTTTCCTGCAAAGCCTAGAAAATCTCAATTTTTCTCTCCTTTCCTATATATTCAAAATTTTTTCTTATATAGGCTAAAAATTTCAGAATATACTCAACTTTAGTAAGGCTACGCGCTGGCAAAAGCAGAATTAAGTTTCAAAAAAATAATTAAGCACGCTGGGTCAATGACGCCTAGTGAAAGTGTATTTTAGCAGCTAAATTGCGACTTGTACAATGAAAATCGAATATCTCAGCCGTCTTCACAACAGTAGTCGATAAGTTTTTGCTGTCATATACTACATCATAACGCAGGACCCACTTTCTCAAATTACTAAATTTTAGTGGTCATTTTTCTTTAGAAAGAAAAATAAAAGAGAATGGTACTCACCTGGATGATCAACGAAAAAATCATAAACAATATTAATATATCTTCTGTATGAACTTATAGGTTGATTTGCATATTCGATTGTCGACCATCTTTGACCATATAGATACGGAATAGCTTAACAAATCGCAAGATCGACAATGTTTATTCAGTTTGATTAGAAAACTTGTAGAAACAAAAATTCCGTTTTACAGGTTCCAACTAGAACAGATCAGCAACTGCAGAAAATGTTACATGAGGCGATTTTTCAACAGACTTGCGATTTATAGTTGCACATTCACTCGTATGTCTTGCCTTTAAAGAGGAGCTAGGCCGGATGAATAGGCTTCTAACAAGCCTAACACGCGAAGAATGCGTTCTTAAAACGTTTTTTTGCGCTTTTCGCCCTTTTAATTACAGGCTACTAACTAGAATCGACTAAAGGACCCTATTAGCTTCGGGATCATCTATCTACTCAAATTGGATTCTGGCGTTTTTCTGTATGAGAATTTGGTTCTTGGGGTTTTTATATCAAACTTGTTTACCGCAATATTCATACCATAGGTCATATTACACAGGGGGCCACCTCTACAACCACAAAAAGAAGAAAAGGTTTCCAAAAAAGGAAAAAATTTTCGCTCCATGCGATTTGTTTTTACTCCAAACGTTCACAGCTGCATTTTACGTTCCTCAGCATGCGTGTTTCTTACTAGGTATATGTTGTTCTTGCTGACGTTGAGTTGGATATGTAGCTAAAAGATTAATAAGTAAATGTTGTTTAATTAGAAAAAATAATTTTTTCTACCTTACACGAAAAAGTACTCGCATTTTATCAAATGTGATACTGTCTTTTGGTTGAATGCAATCCTTTTCTCCAAAAACTCTTTACGTTGTGCATTTATTTCGGTCAAACTAAGGCATCCATACATTTCTATCCATGAACGCTACAATCGCCGCAAAATTCAAATTTCATGCTGATAGTAGAGATTTATGGATAAAATTGATGGATGTTTTGGTTTGACCACTTGTTTCAGGATGATTACGGTACCTGAAAAGACATTGAACGTTAAGGGGGGTATACATATAATATATTATACCTGGTCGAATGTACTCTTGCATGATTGGTAAAAGAGTTCTTGCATCTCGACGTTCGACTGTAACAGCGAAGCATTCCCTTGTATCCCGATCAATGCCACCAAACACCCATTGTAATCACTCATTGCTATTTTTTCGAAGAGATGCCGCCCTTCTGTAGCGGCACGTGCTTCTGTACACCGAAACACATGTGTGTGTGATATGCCATTTGAAGGTGACATGAACAAGTATACAGGAGAGTAGTTTCAGGCAAGTAATGTGTCTTAACAAAATTATGCACCAGAACGTTCCTTAATTGGTTAGATGGTAACCGAGAACACATATATCAACTTTCTCCACAACATACAGGCTTGTTCTAGATAATCATCTTCCACACGATCAAATAAATACATTTTTTCTATCTAGCGAATTTTTTATTTTTTATGATTTAAAAATTGTAAACATCGATAATTCAACAATGCAAATAAATGATTAATTAAATCTAATGATAGCGTTAAACGTTTCATATGTCGACGAAATGAAAGTAAACGTGCATATATTGATAATTAATGACGATTGATTATTTTCATTGTTTCCAATGTATCATCAAATTTCGCAAAAAAAATGAAAGCGTGGAACTGTTCAAAGGAAATAGATTTTCAAACTAATAATCTCAATGAAATAATTTGACTTACGTTAGTTAAACTTGGCTAGACAACAGTTTACCACATCTACGTTAGAAACAAATAATATTCACTTAGTGTCATTTACATCGATGTGATTGAGCTAAACAATATCTTTGTTGAATTAAGCTGTTGAAATAATTACAATAAATATTAAAAAAGGCAACAATAACGATAAATTCTATAATTCTTCTAACTCCGATTGATTTGTAGTTATAACTGTCAGTTCTCTTTCTTAGAATCGACAGACACTTACAACAACGTGTAGAAATGGAAGGAGATTATAAACTGTTTTCTTATTTTTGTTTTAAAATTATACCTTCAATTGGAAATAATATTTTATGGTTGAAATTAGATGACAGATTCAAATCAAATCAGCTGTATTTCCTTGGAACAACAACATCATTAAATAGTTGCTTATCGAATTTAAAATATCTTTATCTATTTTGTAAGAATGAAAATGAAATATTTTCTTATACTGAAAATCGGGCTTGCAATATTTTGAAATTGAACCACTATGGAATGGAAAGGCCTGTACAATGGATTTATATTTGAGAAATAGTTATACAAGCGGACGCCCCTCATAACATACATGCTTGTAGCAAAGTATCAGAATAAACTTGTACAGCAGTAACACCACGTAAGTTTGACAGGCGATGGACTAAGAGACCAAATCGAGAGTCAACACTGCTCCTACTGAACAGTAGAAAATGATTCAAATTTAGAAACTTATTTTTAGCTTTTTTTTTAACTTAACTATTTTAGATATCCTTTAAACTACTAGCGAGAATAATCATGTGTTTTGGAATAGAAGAGTTTATACAAAATAATTTATTAAATTAAATATTACGAATTACATTTATACAAAAAACAAGCATACACACATGTTTACACAATATACATCATTATGAAACAAGATACAACCGACTATCGGTGTGTAAAGGAGAAAGTAGACTTTTATTGTAGTGGTAAATTATAACCTAACCGTGATGCTAATGAATATGGTGATGAAATAGAATAGTCATTTGAGGAGAGAGTGCCATAATGATAAGATGGTGGTGGAGGCGGTGTTGTTGAATAGGGTAATATATAATTACCATTCATTTGATAACGACTATCATGCATATAAGAGTTTTGAGTATAATATGGATTGTACATTGCTAAACAAAAGAGGATCAATCATACAACTCGAATCTGTTGTAGAAAAGCAAACCGGTGTGCACAGCGACGGAAAACAGGTTATTCAGAACTAACTTTTCGTTATATTGGAGTCATTTTCTCAATTCTGATAGTCATAAATGTGTCTTCCAACATCTAAGTCAAGAACGTTCTTTCAATGTTCTCGTATGAACAATACGAAACTTTTAACCTCTAAATGTTGCAATCCTACGGTGTAACAGGATGTTTCATTCTTCACTTACTTGAACAATTATATGTATCATAGTCATTTGTTCCCAATTGTTTCTCATCAATTTCCAACGGTGACGACGACTGAAGATTTGTGCCTAATGTTGATAGTGTGGATGGATAAGGGGAAAAATATTGAAAATTTTCTTTACATTCATGATCAAAATCATTAGTGAATAATTGTGGTGGTGACTTTGAATCAACAGATGAATCAGGCGAACCAGGACTTTGAATACTATCGCTTATGGAAGAGGATAATTTTGAATTTTGACTATATGGATGATACCGAGAGGAGACGGAAGATTTTGATGATGAACCTATGATACAAAAACAACCATAGTCTAGCATCAACACAAACATGTCTATTCACTTACTTTTTGCTTTTCGTTTTGGTTGATATTTGTAGTCCGGATGATCTTTTTTATGTTGCTCACGTATACGTTCGGCTTCGTCAACAAACGGTTTTCGCTGTTCAGGTGGCAATGCTCTGAAAGTAAGATGAGAACAATCAGACATCTTACTCAATGGTACATCTCTCATACATACTTCCACAATTTTCCAAGTGTTTTGCTCAATTGTGCATTGTTCACAGCCGTCAAATTATTTGTTAAATTTTTCCGTGCTGCTTGTGCCCAGACCATAAATGCATTCATTGGACGTTTAACATGTATGGGTTTTTGAATTTTTGTTTTTTGTTCTATTTCAGACCAGTTGAGTTGTTCCAATGCAGAACTCACAATATTTGACAAAACATTCTAATAAAGCAAACAAATCTGAGGTTGCAGTAAATTTTAGAAATTTCTGGAAGTGAACACATTAACAGTGAGTGTGAGTAAATAGAAACGAAGCAAGATTAAAGCCCGTTTCTCTTTAGTTCATTAAATGTACGGTGTTTATAATAAGAGAAAGGAGCCAAAGATGCGACAGATATAGTGAATCTATAACAAATTCAGAGAATTAAAGTTGGAACCGCTCGGCATCCGATTCCTACACCTTTTGTATTCTTTTGTAAATCTACGTCGTCCTCACTGCCACTGCGGTCTGTGATAATTAGGAATCCCAAAAAAGAGTATTACTTTCGCCTATACGTCTATGGTCAGCAAACTGGTAATGGATTACTAAAGGTAATCTTGAATAGCACGGAAAAACTTTCTTTCCATCATTAACATTTAATCTTCTCTATCAAATTGAAAGAGACCAAATCGATTTTGATTGTTACTCACCGTATTGGATGCAGATGACATTTTAAAATACAATGTTCTAGATACACAGATAACCTTGTTCTAGTTTTGTGAATGAATGAATGATTGAACTGTTATTCTGAATGTTTTACAATGAGATATATTCTTATTTTTTATGAATAATAATATCATCGTTGATTACATTATGTATATGTAGCATAGAAGAGGAATAAAAAGAAGAAAAAAAAAGTGAAAGAGATTTATTCGTTAAACATTTAAACTAATCGACCAATGATATTTAATTGCGATGTATTTCTTCTCTCGTCCCTATTAGTCAACTAATTATAAATGTTCAATTGATAAACAATTTAGAAGAGTGTGATGATAATCCAATTTAATAGTTATTTATTGATAGGATTGAAAATAAATTGGAATGTCGTTGAACGTAGAGAGAAATGGAATCAGTTTTCAGTGTGATCTCACAGATTATTTTCGATGCGATTAATCACAATGGTAACTGACTACGAAATCTCTTTTCGTTTCATAGAAGTTATTTTTTTACGAGGATAATCTTTGTTGTGTGCCATAATCAATGAATCAGAATCAGAGTATTTGTAAGGAAAACAATAAGATTTCAAAAGAAACGTATTTGTGACAGAAGAGAACGTTGTTGAAATACGAAAATAAATCAGAATATATTGAATGTATATTGATGTACAATTGAGCATGAAACGGTGAATTGTTTGTTGCTGCTAGACAGTTGAGCAAAGAAAAGTTAATTTATTGTATCAAATGAAAATTTTCTGAAGCAAAAGATTTTAAAAGGAGCTTTAACCCTAGTAGCACCAAGTGGGTCATTTTTGACTCATACCGAAAAATTTGAAAACATAATGGGAATATTTTGTTACTTTTTTTCTATTCTTAATTCGATGTTAGGGTCATTGTGCTCCAATGCTCCAAATGGTCAATGCTTCAAATAAATAAAGGTCGTTATTTTGACAGTTTCTTTATCGCATTGAACATGCGAATGACACCTAAGTACTAAAATACTGATGAAAAAATAAAATAATCCGTTAAGAAAAACTGTATACTACCATTGGAGTGCTAAAAAAAGGCTTCGTACTACTAGGGTTAAAGGACTTTAATCTCACTATTCAGTAAAAATTGATGACTATTTAATTTGTATTCTGTTCAAAATCAGATTACTTTTTTTCTAGTAATATTTTGTGTACTAATAGCGCAATATCGAAACAGTTCCATACCATTGTTAATCTACTAATGACTATTTGATAAAGATCTCATCTCATTTTAATATTCAAAGATTAATTCTTCTTCCATTATGTATCCACTTAACCTACATGAAACTGATCAAAATCATTTTGTTGAAAAGAGCTTTTTAATATAAAAAAACGGTAGTTGGTCGTCAATATTACGACGAAAACAAAAGATAAAAAAGAGATGAGATTATTTTTATTGGTATATAAATATTATACGATTGAAAATTGCCGATTATAAGAGAGAAACAATTGTTGTACAGAACAAAAAATATTCAAGTATCACATTAGACTTTATATCTAACTACTTGTTTTAAAGCATTCAAACTATAGTACAACATATTTTAGATTGAATTTCATAACTTATGAAGAATTATAACTGTTTGTGCCAGTAACAGATTATTCAACTTAGTGTTGAGTTTACAAGCCTATTTTTCTAGCGATACTTTCGTCATTATTTTTTCAAGTTTAGAGAAATAAACTGAATCTTTAAACTGATAAAATGTTGTTGTTATGATTTTTATACTACATTCAAACTGTTATCTAGTCTGCTTTTTGACCTATAAATTACACTAATAATGTTTATATCTTATCTAGTATAGATCCTATTTTCTAGTATTACGATGAGTTTGCTATTAAAATAGAAATGTATCTAATATGAAGTGTAAATATAGGTGAATTATATTTTATTTTTCTAACATATCACTGTAAAATAGAATAACCGTATTAGATATTTTATGTCGCATTAATATTCATGTATATTTTTATTTTCCACAGATAATGTATAGATTATGTATTCACAGTATGTATTTGTCTATAAGTTGAATGCTTGTCACAATAATATAGAAAAAAACTGTGACGTAAAATAACAATTTGATCATGGTGTCTGTTCATGATCAACTCGAAATGTTTATTTAGTTCTGGTAAATTTTCATTTGATACGGAGAAAATAACGGAGAAGATGAAGAATAACAAATATTTTTATTATGCGAAAAATGAAACTATATTTTTTCTAATAGTGAAAAAATAACAATTGTATTAGTCTATAGTATGGATATCAAGCTAAACTTTCTTAAAATCTTGTTTTTCTGAATTAAATACTTTCAAATATAGCTAAAACTTATGGATGAAACAAAACGTTTGAGAGATAAAAAAGACTGTGATCTTCATACACTAGTATTTCAATGATTTTTGGCTTTCATAAATGGAAAAACAGTTGTGTAGTAGAATTATCTAAGGGGAAAATTTCAAGAGAAAATATAAAATGGCATGATATTTATGTTTTTTATTGGTCAAAGCTTTAGTTTTGTCGACAGCATGGATCTTATCTGATCATATGATTTCGTACACGAGAACAAGGTTTTGATTTCTATTTAACACATAATCGCTAGTCTCTCTCTGCAAGTTATCTTTGATTTATTTATCATTATCATTACTAAAAGATGAAGAATGATCAAACAATATTTTTAACTCAATTATGTTTCATTTGTCATTTCTCTCTCGATCTGTAAAACACTAGGTGTGATTCTTTATACCGATTGATATATCAAAAAGTTGTGTTCTTTTCAATGACAATCAAAAAATAGAATATCATTCAACAACGGTGTGTTAATTTTTCATTTTTTTTCTCTTTCAAATAGATAAATGATTATCAACACAGGAAAAATATAATGAAAAACAAACTTTTATAATAGACAAAAATCAGCTCTTTCTTTACTAAGTTATAATTGAACTTATCAGTTTGTATGTCTGAATTGGATGCTAAAGTCATCTAACGGGTGGACCATAAAGAATTGTGCTGTTAGTATTTTCAAATTTTCTCCTCCTTACACTTGATTGAGCTAGGTTTTTTACTAGAAGATTTTCTGCTGGATTCTCTACAAAAAATATATTGACTGTTTTATTGCAAAATTCCATGAGAAAATGTGTGAAGTACAAAAATGTAGAAAAAATAAACATATTTTCTCAAAGACTAATCATTTGTTTTCAAAATTAAAAAAACCAACCTGAACGGATTGAGTTTGACTAAGCTTTATTTGTTTTATTGGAAGGTTCAAATTATTGGTAAAAAATCCTCATTTTTTGAAAAATTGGCAAAAAATAATGAAATTCTTGCGCCCTCAATTCTAACCGAAAATTATTTAAATTATGGACGGAAAATAGAGCTTTTCGAGGCATACACAGTGGCCAATTCAGCTTTCCTCTCTCACAAACTTTTAGTAGATAATATTGTAACTACGTTTATTTTTTCTCCCCTTTTGTACTTCTTACATTTTCTCATGGCATTTTGCACCTTTGGATTTTGCAATAAAACAGTCAACACATTTTTTGTAGAGAATTCAACGGGGAAACTTTGGTAAAAAAACTAGCTCAATCAAGTTTAAGGAGGAGGAGGAAATTTGACAGCGCAATTCTTTATGGGCCACTCGTTACATTTACAATTTATCATACTGTTATTTCACTTTAGACTTCGATATTTAGCAAACAATAGTTATATCTTTCTTTCTCTTTCTTATATCTGCAAGTGATATACAGCTCACTTTGTTCTACATACTAGTTTTTCTCCCTGTTTATTGTATGTTACAGCGTGTTGGGATTTTCATTGCGCTATCCATAAAATTTTTCTTTTATCATTATGCTTTATTTGAAAATATGGCATTACAACAATAAAAGTTTAGGTCATTTCAATATGATAGACGTAGTCTACTGCGTTAAAACGTGTTTCAAAGTTATTTTTTCCAAGTTCTAATTATGACGTTGTAGTTATATAAAAATTTTCTCTAGCATTATAATGAGCTCTATTTTTTTTATAATGGTGTACTTCAATACGATCTGTCTAACGTCTTATAACACATTAAATGTTAGTGTATAATAACGCGTATTAGTTTTTTACTTCGATACATGCGTCAGAAACTAACGCATTATAACAAAATTAGATTTTTTATTCAGGTATAATGCCATGAAAATTGGTTTTAGTTATTTATAACGCATTAAATAGGAGAGAAAGATCCCGTTCAACAAATTTTGAAAAATATCTTTAATGTGTTGTATCATGTCATGCTAATGTATTATGTAGAGAGAAATGCTCAAAAATTGAAATTATAACGGCATAAATACATTTTCATCTTGCTCATATTCTATGCAGTTATTATCAGATGCTATAAATTCGATTAATGCATTATCTGTTTTCGAGAAGAA